CCCAAATTTTCGTGTGTTATAGCCCACACCTCCTACATGGGACCGAGTGACCGAACCCAGATCGCCTAAAAATATATTTGCCCATCAAAAATGATGTAAAGAACAATAGTCACCGCCTCTTTATGACTGTTATTCATTTTTAGCTTTATAGGGCCGTAAAACTAAAACTCCACCCGATTCCTAGATTTTCGTATGTTATAGCCCTCGCCTCCTGCATGAGTCTGTTCGACTGGACTCGGATCCCTCAAAATTTTGACGGCCTATCAAAAATAACCTACAAAATAATATTTACAGCATCGCCATGACCTTTACTCCTTTTTAGCATTTTAGGGTCATAAAATTGAAATTTCGGTCAATTCTCAGATTTTCGTATGTAATAGCCCACGCCTCGTACATGGGAACGGGTGAACGGACACGGATCGCCTAAATTTTGTCGATCTATCAAAATGACCTAAGAAATAATAGTCACCGCCTTACCATGACCGTTACTCATTTTTGACTTTTTAGGGGCATAAAACTAGAGATCCGCCCAATTCCTAGATTTTCGTGTGCTATAGCCCACGCCTCCTACATAGGCTTGGGCGACCGGACTTGGATCGATTGACATTTGTATGGCCCATCATGAATGACATACAAAATAATAATCACCACCTCGCCATGACCGTTACTCATTTTTGTTATTTTAGTGCCATAAAACTGAAATTCTGCCTGATGCCTATATTTTCGTATGCTGTAGCCTACGCCTCTTGCATGGGCGTGGGAGACCGGGCCCGAATCTCTTAAAATTTTGACGGTCCATCAAAAATAACCTACGAAACAATAGTCACCGCCTCACGATGATCGTTACTTATTTTCGGCGTTTTAGGGCCATAAAACTGTAATTCCGCTAATTCTCAAAAACGACCTAAGAAACAATAGTCACTGCCTCGCCATGACTGTTACCCGTTTTTGACCTTTTAGGGCCATAAAATTAGAATTCCGTACGATTCTATAATTTTTGTATACTATAGCCTATGCCTCCTGCATGGGCCTGGGGGACGATACCCGGATCGCTTAAAATATTGTCGGCCCATTAAAAACGATCTAAGGAACAATAGTTACTGCCTCTCTATGACCGTTACTCATTTTTTGGCACTTTAAAGCCATATAACTGGAATTCCGTTCAATTTCGAGATTTTCGCGTGTTATAGCCTACGCCTCTTACATAGGCCCGGGCGACCTCCTACATGGGCCCGGGAGACCGGACATGAATTGTCTAAAAGTTTGTCGGCTCATCAAAAATGACCTAAGGAATAATAGTCACCGCCTCTCCATGACCATTACTCTTATTTTAGGGCCATAAAACTGAAATTTTGCCCGATTATCAGATTTTCATGTGTTATCGCCCAAGCCTCCTACATGGGCCTGGGCGACCAAATCGGATCGCCTAATATTTTGTCGGCCCATAAAAAATGACCAAAGGAACAATTGCCACCACCTCGCCATGATGTTATTTATTATTTAACATTTTAGGGGCATAAAACTGAAATTCTACCCGATTCACAGATTTTCATGTGCCACGCCTCCTACACGGGTTTGGGCGCTAGGACTCAGATCGGGATCGCCTTAAATGTTTTTGGCCCATAAAAATGACACAAGGAACAATAGTCACCACCTCGCCACGATCGTTACTCATTTTTTGGTGTTTTAGGGCAATAAAACTAGAATTCTGCCCGATTTTCAGATTTTTGTGTGCTACACGCCTCCTGCATGGACCCGGGCGACCGAACCTAAATCGTCTAAAATTCTGACGGCCCATCAAAAACGACCTAAGGAATAATAGTCACCATTTTGCTATGATCGTTACTCATTTTTCGTGTTTTAGGGCCATAAAATATTAATTTTGTCCGATTCCTAGATTTTTGTGTGTTATAGCCCATGCCTCCTTCATAGGCCCGGGCACCAAGACCCGCGTCACCTAAAATTTTGTTGACCCATAAAAAATGACCTAAAGAAAATAGTCAAAGCCTCGTCACTACAATTACTTGTATTTTAGCATTTTTGGGCCATAAAAATAGAATTTTGCTCGATTACCAGATTTTCGTATGCTATAGACCATGCCTCCAATATAAGCCCATGCGCCTGAACCCGGATCACCAAAAATTTATCGGCCCATCAAAAATTACCTAAGGAACAATAGTCACCGTCTCACCATGATCGTTACTTATTTAGTGGCGTTTTAGGGCTATAAAACTAGAATCCTGTCTGATTCTCATATATAAGCCCAGGCCTCCAACATGGGTCCAGGCACAAGACCTGGATCGCTTAAAAATTTTCCGGCTCATCAAAAATGACCTAAAGAACCATACTCACCGGCTCGCCTTGACGGTTATTCATTTTTTGGCGTCTTAGGACAATAAAACTGGGTTTTGGGAATGGGAAGATGAGATCTTCCCGCAAAGTGATTGGACTAGTATCAAAGATGTAACATCGTCGATGGATGAGATTAAGATGCAAAGGGACAAATTGAAGGAAGAAGTAATTTCCATGAAGGCTATACACCAATATGAAGTGAATAAAGTCAACAAGTTGGAAGATAACTTGCAAAGACAAGGATGCTACTTATGATTTCTTGGGAACTGTTTCTTGGTTTTTTTGCCGCCGCGATGATTAAGTGACTTTTTTAGAATATTAAGGTTGCTGATTTTGAGTTATATATGTGTAGATGACTTTTAGGTCAATTAAGCCATGTTGTAGTAGTATTTGATGCTATAGTGGAATTTGTTGCTTTCCAGCCATGTTCTGCAGATTTGATGACGATATTGTAGTAGTATTTCTTGGTCAGTTTTTTCCCTTAGCGAATGATGATGTTGGTGTAGTAGTATTTGTTGCTTTCCCTTACTAGTATATGTTATGCATATTTGATTGTTCCAAATATCATGTTGAATAACTAAGTCATTTAATTGCTTTCAATCCAATTCATTTGACATAAAAGACAACAACAAGTGTAAAGCTGAAAAATTTACATTCTAGTCATAAAATAGATAACTAGATAACTAGAAAACAAAAATTGAAAAGGGAACAAAATGGACAAGAATTAACTGAACATTCACCAACTATCAATATTCATAAAGTGCGTTTAATAAAATAACTGGATACCATATTATAACCCCAAAAATATGTAAACACCTAGTTATAACATGGCATCCAACTATTACAACTAAAGAACCACAACCATAATATAAAGTTTACTGTCATGAAAGTAATTACAACACTTCCAAAAATTTACAACATAAAAGTTCACTAGAAGCAAATTCCATCACTTTTGCTCCTTACCACTACTCTTTCTTGATTGCAACTTGGTTAACCTTTGTTTGTTCAACTGATTTCCAGTGATGGCAGAATTTCCCAGTCATGTTAGACCTTTTGCTGAGAAAGTAAGCTTTGATGTCTGACTTGCACCGCTTGAATCACCAATAAATCCAATTTGCCTGGTTGCAGTTGGTACACTTTGCTACCACAACTGGAGTCTTGTCCTTGCTTCTGAGATACTCTTTGGTCTTATAACTATGTCAGGCTCAGGTTCAAAGCTAGAGATCTCAAAATCTGGACATTCATTGCTAGTTGGAAGCTGCCTTTGAACTACAGGGGTTGGCATAAACACAAAGTTGCTGGATTGACTATTTTGACTTGGTTGGGGTGCTGATAAATGGAAGTCATCTTCAGTTGGGATATCTGCAGTAGCTGGGGATATAGGTTATTCATCATCAGGTTCATCAACCAAAGTTCTTTGTTTTTTTTCCTGTTTTCCCCTTGTTTTGCCACCCATTGGCTATTTTCCTTTAGAGTGTTATTATCAGCATACAATATTATATGTTAGAACAAGACAGAATAAAATAGAAGCATACATTTGTTGTTCAAGAGATAGATTACCTTGGCACATCCCCAAGCATTATGTCCAGGTTCTCCACAGTAATTACATGTCATTACTCTCCTTTTTCTGGATTGACACCATTGCCCTTGCCTATTAAGGGACTCATTTGTCTCTCTTGTTCTTTATACTTTTGGCCTACCAGCCTGCATTACAAATTTAGGTGGTTCTATATTTTTTGTGGGTTCTATCTTCCAGAACTTTTCTCTTCTCACAGGTTGTAACTTATGAGAATAAGTTTGGAGACATGCCTCTTTGGAAAGGTACCAGTGAATCTCACTTAAATGGTCAACCTTCTTTTATAGTAGGGCACATATTGCATGAGGACATGGGATTCCACAAAGGTCCCATATCATGCAAGTGCATTATTTTTTACCCCAGATTGACAATGTGCCTATCACTACCTTCTGTCACTTCATAACCTTGGCCAGCATTGCCATTCACATGACACTTTTATGCAATCCTCATGAATTGGTTATACAAATTTAGAGTCTTGGAATTGTATTCACTTCCCCACCCCATCACTTCAGCTTCATTATCAGTCAACATATTCATAACCTTGATTCTGATCTCCTCTAACATCTTTATAATTGGCTTGTGTCTGGCTTGCAATATCCATGCATTGAAGGACTCAGTCAGGTTATTATCCACTGACTGGTTCTTGCAGGTAGTATCAAAGAATGTCCTACTCCAGTTGGTAGGTGGATACTTTAACAGAACTTCAACAACAACTTTACCATCATGATCCACTTGACTCATACTCTTTTACTTGATCTTGGAAGTCCTCTTCATAGGTACTCTAAGCTGCCCACCAAAGATATTTCTTGTATTCCCCAGACCCCCATCTCTTGCACCAGTTTGCTTCTATGTATCTTATACAAAATCTATGGTATGCCTCAGGAGAAACTCTTGAGATTGAATCAATCAGCCCTTACATATAAAAGAAAGAAGAAAAATTATTATCTATATATACAGATTGGTAAAATAATAAAATAATGAAGTAAAGTGTACATACCTTTTGCATATCTGAGATAAAAGTGATTCCTTCACCCATCTTAAGGTTCAGTGACATTTTTAGATGACTTAAAAACTAGTTCCATGTGACTTTTGTTTCTTTTACCACAATAGCCCAAGCTAATGGATAAAAATGATTTGCAGAGTCTTGACCAACTGCCACCAAAAGCTGACCCTTAACTTTTCCTTTCAAAGAAGTTCCATCCAACCCTATAAAGGGCCTCACCCCACTCATAAACCCCATCTTCATTGCATGAAAACATATGTACATCCTTCGGAACCTTCTCTTGCCTTCAGAGCAAGAGCATCCTATGATAAGTTAGCTACCACATCACTTCCAAGATTACTAAACTTCAATTCATTAACATATGCCACCAACTTTTTATATTCATCAGTAAAACTCCCTTCCAGACTCTCCAAAATCAATTTCTTTCTCTCTTACACTTTGCCTCACTAAAATTTACATTATATGTAGCCTTCAAGCTTGCCCTCATCTCTCTAACCTTAATTTTTGGATCATCTTGAAACCCTCTCTTGAAGTATGCAGCAATGGTCTTGGCATTAACTCTATGATTCTCATATGTAGGTTCACAAGTGTACTCAGAATTTAAGGTCCTGAATTCAACCCCACCACCCTGAAGAATTCCTAGATATGTGACATACAAAAGGGCAGCCAACTTCACAAATGTACCTAAGCCTAGTTGGGTCACTTTTAAGTTGCTCTAACCCATAACCATTTGCAAGTGCATACATATTTATCACTTTCCTAGCTTCAGCAATATCTTTAAATATTATGGACCTATCCAACTCTTTATAGCCAGTCAATTTATCATTAATGTCCCTCTTCTTTTGTGTAAAATGTTTCTCTAGTCTATTAGAATCATCATCTGAAGAAACAACATATTCATTGTCATCACAATTATCACTTTCATCACAATCAGTGGCAGCTTCAAGTTCATCCGGTTCATCATGCTCATTGTGATGGATTATATTAGGTAAATTAATACTTGGCTCACATTCCTCTACAACAAATATGCTAATAACATTAAACTGGTTGTTCATGAAGTCCAATAAAGTTCTAATTCCATAATCACCTTCTATTTCATAGTATGTACTAGAAAGACCATTAACTATCAATTTTTGTACTCCTATATACCCCAGGTTAAAAACATATTCATCCACTAAATCATTATAGGAAAGCAAGTCAGAGTCAAAACCTTTTTTGGTGTGCAAAATTTTTCTTGAGTATGCCACGAGTGGTTTCTTGACCCACTCTCCACAGTGATGAAAGACCAAAATCCAGCAGGACCACTATTAGTAAACTGCAGAATAAAGAATATACCTATTTAAGACAAACTAAAATCACATAATGTAAAAAATATAGAAACGTTATAACATGCACACTAAAACCATTCAACATAAACAAACAAAGACTAATGGAAGGCTGATTAAAATGGAGTAATAGAAGGTACAAATGTCACACCTCCTTTTTGCGCGCCTACCCCGAAGGATAAATGCGTGAGGGAGTTTTCCAATTTAAGTGACAATATTCGAAATGAGATTATTTATTTAATTCAGAGTCGCCACTTGGGAAAGGTTTGGCTTTTGGTGTCCCAAGTCACCGGTTTATCTTGAATCCCAATTCGAGGAAAATATTCGACTTTCCAAATGAAGTCTGCGAACCAGAAATTCTAAGTAAGGAATTCTGTTGACCCGAGGGAAGGTTTAGGCACCCCCGAATCCCGCGGTTCTAGCACGGTCGCTTAAATTGTTGTAATGGCTAAATATCTGATACATGTTATGACTTGTGTGCTTTTATTAAGTTTAAACCGCTTTTATTATTATTTTTAATAGAATTGCAACGTTGGGAAAATGCATCTCGAACCACGTCACAATCAATGCACCCGTGGTTGTTAATACGTTCCGACTCTATTGAGATTTGGATTTGGGTCACATAAATGCGCACCCGAATTTAGGCATGTAATTTAATCAAAATCGCGTCTAAAGAGTCTAACACGTTAAGCCGTGAAGTTCGCTAAATGGCCACTCCCGAAATCTAAGTAATTATTAACATCTATTGAGGGCCCCGCAGTTTGTGCGTCTTTGTTTGGCGAGGCTCGCCTCATTTATTTTAAAGATATCTTAAAGTGACTACATTTCTATTAAATTCATTTCTAAAATAAAAGAGAAAAAATCCTAATTAGTTACATGCTTAAAAAAGGGGCGTAACATATTAAATGCTAGATTAAGACAAATGTTAACGGAAAGGAATATTACTAAAATTGAAATTATAAATAAACTACGGAATCGACAAATAATATGTTCAAAAGAAACTAATTATCCTATAACTAGATTAAACTCGCATTGTTAGATGACTTGAACCGTTGGAATTAATTATTTACGACTATTTGAAACTAGAATCAATCTTAATTACTAATGCATATTCGAAAGTTTATTAAATTCAAACGTTAACTCGTCTTGTTTGAACTCAAATCATGCCATAATGCCTAATTCACGAAATTAATTTAAATTCATGCTTTAACTAAATTTAGCTACATGTTCACGATTAACCTACTGTTGACAATATTAAAACCTTCAA